CGGGAGGCGGGCAGGCCGCGGGGCCGCCCCCGGGCAGGACGGAGCGGCGGGCACGGGCACGGGCACGGGCATGGCGGGTCGCGCGCTCCTGCTCCTCGCGCTCCTCGCGCTCCTGGCGCGCGCCACAGGTGAGCAGAGGCCGGCGGTGGCAGAGGGGGCACCGGGGGGCAGCGCCGGGCCCCGGGCCGGGCCGGGTCGGCTCCTGGGCGGGGAGGCGGCGCCTTCTCGGCCGCCTTTTCCCCTGCTCCCCATGGCGCGAGCTGCCGCTCTGCGCGGGCGGCAGCGCTGCCCCGGCGCCGCTTCCATGTTAGGAAAGAAAAGCGGCGTTACGGTAAATTCAGGGCTGCCGTCGCTCGCCAGGGAGTGCCCTCCACGTGCCAGCTGCAGCGGTCACAGCGTTCAGCAACGGGGCAGCTGCAGGGTGCAGCGCYCGGGCGCGATTCCCGGGCGTTTCCCGGGGCGCCGGCGCGTTTGTGCGGGCAGGGTTGCTGCCACCTCGGTCCCAACAGTGTGTGTGGGAGAGGGTTTGCGTGGAGAGTGTGGAAATGCGCTGCGTGGAGAGGGATTCCTTGTGTGGAAGGGAAGTACTTCCCACCACTGCAATAATGCAATAATGTTGTTATTACTGTTTTATTCAGGACAATCAGCTTATTGCCGGAAACCAAAGTTTGGAGTTTGCAATGCAAACTTCTCATTGCTAGAACTTTTATTTCTAAGAAATGTCTTTTTATTTATTTGTTTATTTGTGTTGCTTTGTTAGCAAGTATGTTTAGTGCTTACTAACCAAGGCGATTTTTTTTTTCTCAAATACTTGGCAAAAACGACCCTTCAAATATTAAAACTGTGTGGAGAAAAGGGAAAAAATATATACACACACACACACACACACACACACACACACACACACACATATATATATGAGTCCCTAGCCCCGACAGTGACGTGTAGAGGACTGTGCCGTACCAGATCAGCAGTTTATCTTCAAGCCTGTTTGAATTCAGTTTTCCTGCTATGGCCTCATTGCAGCCTTAACTGCTGGTTGCAATCTGAAATCCTGGGGAAAATAGTGTGATTTTGTAATAACTGCCTGGAAATCTGACAGATGATTCACACTCCTATAACAGAGATATCAGATGACTCCTTATTTTTGAAAGCTTGCTCCCCTCTTTCTGTAAACACTCCTCACAGTCTTGTACAAGAAGATCTTTGGTGTAACGGTCCTAAGATAGGGAAGTATTTGGGAATCACTCAAAATTAGGCTTTCTAAGATGATCACTTAAAATTTTTGAGGTGAACTCCGTATGTCAGAGTTCTCCCGCTCTTGCTTCCCTGGAGGAAAAGCCTACCAAGCCTTCCCTCAAGCTTTGTGTTTGCCCTTCTGAAGAAAAAATGCTAATTTTTTAAAAGATAGATTTTAATAAGCTGCTTACCTTACCTGACTAGTGGCTAACGACCAGAATATGAACTAAGTAGGTGAGTTAGTAACTTGCAATGCTYTCCTTTCTATAAAAAAAGGAAGAATGCAAAAACTGCTGAGAACGTCAGTCTGGGGAGGGTGGGGCGGTTCCAGGCAGCTTCAAATTTGTGCTGCCTCAGTCCTTTGTTAAAATACAGGCAGAATCTGGGCTGTGTGCTCTGGGAGCTTAAATGTCACTGCTCAAAGGCTGCCGGCAATCTGCTTCAACAAAGCTGCTGTGAAAATTGAGGATTTTACTGCACAGCTGTTGTGTAACTACTCGGGCTGGGACAGGCATCCAGTTGCCTTTGGGCTGCTGTCTCTCGCAGATAAAACATGTGTGCCTGTGGCCTCGCGAGGGATTTTTGTTATCCCRGGCACTTGGAAACTGTGTCTGCGTTGAAACAACACGCAGAACATCGTGGGGGATCCAAATGCCCTGTTAAGCAAAGGCAGACTTCGCAGTTTGGGGCTTGCCTAAAAGAAGAGCTTGCAGTTTTAGCCTTGCAGCTGTTTTAAGTATTTGCTGGCTATGAGCTCAGCAAGTCAGGGTTAACTCGGATTTAGGTGTCCCTGGGGCTGAATCCAGAGGAGGATGGCGAGTTTGGACATTGTGGCTTGAGCTGCGCCAGCAGTCAGTCCTGCTAAGGAGTGGGATTTTCCCATTTCTCTCCTTCTGTGTTTAGGCTGGTGTCCACCGGGCCCTGTACGCACTCAGATGATTCAACTTAAATCAGCAAATGACTCACTAGGTGCATTGAATCTCTCCCGAGGTGCCTGAGGGGTGTCGGAGGCAGCACCAGGGAATGGCCAGGCCCAACATCTGGAGTAGAAATGGGGCTTGGAGGGGCCGGGAGGAGAGAGGGGAGGAGACTTCCTGCCCCAGCCGGCCGTGGTGAGTGAGTCACGGCGCTGGCTCTGCCGCCCTGCATCTGCAACAACACCCTTGAGCCCGGGACCGAACCTCCTGCCATTGGCTGCTGTTGTGTCCAGGCCCTGGCATTTAGACATCTGCTTTTATTATTTTTAGAGAAGAATGAAAAAAAGTCCTTGGTTTTCTGTAGTGTGTATAGGAAGAGCGTTCAGCACCTCCAAGTTAAAGAGAAAGAAACAAAGCAGGACAAGCAGTAAAGCAGGAATGGCTAGAGCTTGCACATAGACACAGAACTCACAGTTTCCCTCCTGTACGGCAGAGATATCAGGGCTTAAAAAGGCATCTGTTTACTGCACATCTAGAGTTTGTGTTTGAGGGTACACACTTTGAAGTATTCTCTGCAAGCCTCGTGTAGAGCTCGCTGACTGAAGCACAGTTTCCACTAGAAATAGTTGTATGGAGTAGTAGGAGGTGAGTGAAAAGCCTTGCTTGGGAACTGAGGTATCTGTGTTGTAAGATCTGTAGCCTACGGCTTTTTCAAGGCGGAGATCCCTGCTTCCTAAAACTGCTGTAACTAAGTGGCTGTGAGTAGAGGGAAAGAATTCCACCTGTGGCAATAACTTTTTGTTGAGGCAAGTCACATATGAGCAAAATTACTGGTTAGATGGGAGGTGGTTAAAGGAGCCTGCCTGTAATCTCAGGGTTACAGCTTTCATTGGAATAGGGAGATAGGGCAGGAACTCCAGAAGGTTCATCTCTGCTTTGAAGGCTGTAAAATTGTTTGCCTTTTAAAACTTATTTAAAAACCACATATATAGTTTTCTTTAAATACTTTTATAGTGGCGCTAGTGCACATATTTGGCAGCACAAACTTGAAAAATGCAGGAGACGTTTTAGCCACGGTTTCTGTTGGTTTGAAATGGTTGGCATTTTATATGTGGTGCTCTCATATAAAATGGCCACTGCACTGCTCGATCAAAATGACATCAGTGCAACAAACTGCTGCAGCTTTCTCTAGTTGCAGTGTTTTAACTTGGCAAGAGCTAAGCATGACATAGCCAAGCTCACGCCTGGCCACTGTCCAGCCAAACCCAATTTCGGTGTTTTCCCGATGTTGCTGTGATAGATTTGCCCACTCTAAAGAATTGTTTTTAACTCTCAGCTTTCTTGAACCCTCCCCCTGCAGTAAATTTGTATTTCATTGGGCGATAGTTGTGTTAGCCAAGTGCTGTTATAATCCTTATCATGTAAGGTCATCTTGACAGGGGCGAGCATCTTCATTTTAGTCGTCCTGCTTTTCTGTGCTCTGGCACAGGAACCTGCTCTGCAGAGTCTGGCAGGAGTGTGTGGAGGGATTGTCACAAGAAAAACAGGCTTGACTCGGGGAACTTCTATTTTGACTGCCTGCCAGTTAACATAACCATCTAATCCCTGACTCAGATACTGAGAAAACATAAATGGTGAAAGACACACTCAGAAGCAAGCACCTTCCTCCCCCTTCCCCAGGCTTGACTTGAGGCAAATGCTTGTCCTGCCTCTCTCAGTTTCACTTCCTTGATTTTCATTGAAGTTACCCTCAAAATGTGTCCAAGTCTCTCATCTTAAAGAGTGGCAGGTGTTGTGAGAAGGCTGGGGTTGGTGTTCAGTGATTTTTTTTTTCTGCTGTTCTTCTGTGCTTTTTACTGTTTTTTACTAGTTTTCCTTTCCTTGCCTCTCAGTGTCCCTGCCTCATCATGGGTTGTCTGTGGGCTGTGGTTCCTCGAGGATCTCCTCTTTGGCATGGAGATGGTCCTTCCAAGAGTGAGTCTCCAGCCACGTTTCCTCAGCAGTCTCTCTTTTTCTCTTTTTGTGCCTCACAGAGTTTCTCCTCAGTTGCCTCCAGTCCCCAGTGGCTGCTGCTCCTTCTTAAATATGTTTGAGTGAGGGTAGTCTGTGTGCTGCTGTGGCTGGTTGAAGTTTTGGTGGATCACAGGTTGCCTGCATTGGTTTCAGAGCTGGTTGTGGCTGCCGCTGTGGCTTCCTCCCACACAGGACACCACTGCTACTGAAACTCTGTCGTGTTGGCCTAGTGCATCCCACTGCTCACTTCTACAAAGCACATGTTGAAGAACTATGTAGAATATAAACCGCTTATAAACCCTACTTTCAATATCATCCCAGTCTTCATGTTCAGTATAAACTCTACCCTTCCTTCCTGCAGAGGAGGCAATGAAGATTAACATAGCAACAGCATATAGGTACTCTCAGTAAGACTTTTTCCTCTAGGAAACAGATTATAGGGTTCAGCATCACTGTCTGAACACGCATGCTTCCCAAGCTCGGGGTCTGTATAGTCTAGGTTGGATTAACATCGTAATAATTGGAACTCTTACTGACCTGACCTAAGGTCTCATGTCTACAAACTCCATAACATGCGCTTGAGGATGTAAAATGAGATTATTTATCACACGTTGGAGCACACATTTCACTATTCCCTTCCCAAAGACCACCCAGTAAGCAAACCCTGCTCTGTGAGCTATAAAGTCTCCTTCCTTAGGGATTTCAACTGCTGGAGAGGGAAGAGACACAAACTTGCTTCCCTGTCCAAGCAGGGTTTACTTTATCACGCATCCAAGACTGGGATACAAGACTTTCTGCGGGGTTGCTGCACAGGTTCCTGGCTATATGTCAGCTAATCCCACTGCTCCCTTGGGCTGACATTCCCTCCCTGCAGCTTTCAGCAAGGCCTTTAGTAAGACTCTGCCCTCTTACCTTTCCGACTCCTGGGGAATTATAGGGAGTGTGATGCACCCACTGTGCTCCATGGTCTTCGGCCCATTCTTGAATATTTTTTACTGAAATGGCTCCTGTTACCTGATTGTAGCCTAAGCTGCATGCTGGGGTGCCAGCAAGTACGTAGCTTGTAGCCACCCTTGTGATATCTCCAGCAGTGTGAGAACGCAGCACTTGCAATGTTGCCACAGGGAAGAGGGCATGTCTGCTTACCAGGCTTCTCCAAATATCCATTTTCCCATCCCATTCTCTGCTTCATCATTCGTGCTTTCTAGTGTGCCAGATGATGCCACAGATCTCTTACTGCCTCCCGACTTGTATTATGGCTTCCCAAGATGATTCCCTGCCCCTGTAGCATGGCCCGTCTCTCCTGATGGCCCAGCAGTTTCACGGACCGTGTGGCTAAGAAGAGACCTCTGTTCTGCCCTTGCCCCAAACTCTGGCGGGTCAGCCTCGCTGCTCGGCCTGGCTGTCGTGTTTCTGAGTTGCTGTCCGGTCTGGGTGTTTACCCGTTAGCGTGGTGCAGCGAGGCCCTCCTTTCTTTGGTGCCTGTTGCACTGCTTGCCCTGCCGCTAGGCTGGTTACCTCACAGCTGCTACTCCCCGCATTCCTCTCCTTCCCACCGTTTCTGCACCAGCTCGGGGATCATCCTGGTGCCTGCTGGTCCATGAGCTGAGAGCAGCCGCTGCTCCTGAGCAAATAAATCCCTGGGCCATTCGCGAGGCTGCTACTTCTGCAAGCTGACTGGAGTCCCTTTATGCTGAGTAGCAGTTCACCAGCTCCTGTTTCCTGCTCTGATGTTATGGGATCCATCGGTAGGCAACATCCACTACAYGTGCACAAAAGTTATTTGTGCTGTTGAGATGTGTCTGCAACCGTATTGCCCCTGCACACCAGAAACCTGCATTTCTCGAGTGTRCCTTTTACTTTGGAGCACTTGATGGCAAATGCAGCACTGAGAAAGATAATGATTACCAGTGACCCATTACTTAGCGATTCTTCTAGAGACATTCCTCCAATTCCTGCATCACCAATATTGTGAAAACAGCCTCTAGAGATAGGTAGCTTTAAAGTTTTGCATATAGCGCCATCATAGATGGCAGGCCACTGTTTCTACCCCAGTGGTAGCCAGTTCTGAGCCTCCCAGGTGAAGGCAGACTCCTTTCTTCRGCCAGAGGGACTGAAAAGGAAGCATTTGCAATAGTGGTCGTATACCACGTGTGTTCTTTGGTTCTGAGCTCGTGCAAGAGCTGCAGCAGGCCTGGAACTGCAGCAGCCAGCGTGGGAGCAACTGCGTTCAGAGCTCTGCTGTCCACTGTTAACTCTCCTCTAGGCTTCTGCACAGACCAGACAGGACTATTGTAAGGCGAAGGTGTTTGAAACCTCCTGCCTTGCTTTTCCAGGGAATTGGTTAATCTTTGAGGTCCRGTGGTCACCCCGCTAGTGCTTTCCGTAAATGCTTACTAAGGGAACAAAAATTGGGTTTGTGCTCTTTGGCACACGCAGTAGTGTTTTGTTTTACACACGCAGTAGTGTTGTGGGGTCCTGCAGCTGTCTGTCTGCTGTGCAAGCCTGTTCCAGAAGCCCAAAGCCTTCATCCTGTCCCTTCTGTCCATCTATAGCGGTGAAGCAGGTTGGTCCCCAGGATGGCAGGGGCAGGCTCTCCCACGTGTTCAGTGCACCCTAGCTTGCAGTGCTAGATCTCCAAAGGGCTTTCCATCCTACTTGAGCATATTCTCTCCTTATATATTCATGAACATCCCAAGTCCCAGGACAGGAACATGCTACAAATCCATTATTTCCTGACATTTCTCAGCACGTTTTTGATACCACTGAATTCTCAGTAGCAGATTGTTAATTGGCTTTCCAATTGGCTTTCCTGCCAATCTTATGGCATGCTCCTTCCAATATGGTACATGTAGGTTACTCCTTGATCAGCAGTGTGTTTCACCAGGCAATCGGACAATGTCAGAAGAGTGATAGCAGTTCTCGGTGCCTGCCCAGAATCAGAGATTTCGGGCTAGAATCAGAGGTTTCAGGCCGTAAAATCAATGGCCACCTTTTCAGGCTGCTCGTTGCTTATAAACATATCAGATATCAGCCCAAGCAATTGCAGTTGACCCCCCTCTTCCCAGCCCTTCAACGTGGATACCTCAGATTTGTGGGATCAACAGGAATGAGCTCAACTCAATGTACCCATCCACTTCCCGACCCAAAGCCGGGCTCTCCGGAGGGGTCCTGGAGCCCTCACCCCAGCATCCGGAGCAGACACGTGGTGAGCCCCAGCACAGCAGCAGCCGCTCCCCAGGGGGTGCAGCCYTTGGCATCTCTCCAGCTACTGCATCGACCTACATCTGCCTTGTCATTTGCCCAGTACGTGGATGTCTCATTGGAGGTCTCTATGTCTCCCTGGAAAAGCATCCATCTTGGAGAAGCATCCACTGCAACAGCAGTGATAGGGAGGCATGGGGTTAATACTGCAAAATTGAGAGTTTGGAAAGTTCCTTGGTATTATAAGGTCAGTTTTTAGTTTGCCTTTTTTTATTAGAATGAGAAGGAAAAAGAAAAGAAATGACATAATCACAGAAATACTGACTTTTCTATATGTATGCAAACTCCCTTCTTGCTGCCAGTAAGAYCATTTTTCAGTTATTGCAGTGCACGAACTTCTAGGCTGTTTTATTCTCCATGTTTGGTGTTACTGAGTTGCCCAGAAAAAACAAAGGACGCAGAAGATTTTCCACAAAGAGTTCCAGAAACTCGTAAGACAGATTCCCGTGACACTTGCAGGAACCTCATTGCTTGCAGTGTAACTGTTTATGAAGGTTTTTGCAGAAGTGCAGTTTTTCCTTTAAAATATGTAGCTCATATCTCAAATGCAGTAATCTTTTAAAATGTCAGGGAAAAAAAATTAAAGTCCATTTAAAATGAAATTTAGTTTAAATTTAAGTCAAATTTCATCAGAAAATACTGTATAACAAATCTTGTTTCCATTTTCTTTTTGCGAATTTCAGTCAGCTATGAACATATACTATAAAAATCAAAGAAATAGCACTCTTATAAGATGAAAAGCTAAGAAGTTACAATGAAGTAACAATTAACTGTGGCTTTTGATTCAGRTCTTCTTTTCTTATAGCTGGAGTTGTGTAAGACTCCTTTTGGATCTCTTGCTTGTTAGAATTTTTTTCAAGACATGTTCAGAAGTGGTGTATGTAAAATATCTTCMAGACTGTTTTGACTTGGAGCCAAGGAGTTTTAGTCAAGGTAAAAACAACCATTTTTCTTTTGGTACTAGCAGTTGTTCTTTGGTCAATCAGATACGTATTAGGTTTGAAAATCTTTTCCTAAAATAGACTTCTTCTGATTTTATTCCTGTCATTTTCCTGGATAAAATTCAGTCTTCTCAGATTTTAATTGTAAAATTGTAGGCTAATTTTCTTTTGCTTAACCACAAAAAAATGTTGATTGCATTTTTTCTGTTTGTGAAGAAATCCAKTATTTTAAAGGAAAAATAAAGAAGCGAGGACATTCATTAGACTCTGATATTTCCAAGTCTGATTATATTCTGCAATGTCAGTAGTGTCACTAGGTTAAAATTCTCCACTACAAAAATACTATACCCTGGCCTTTTCAGCCTGGAAAAAAAAATAATGAAATTGCAGTGTTTATGTACCTGATTTACCATCAACTGTTTCTCCRCAATGGTTTGGAATAAAATACTGATTGTGTGTAAAGAGGGGAAAGGATAGTCTTGATAGTAGTAGACTGATGTGCGTTAAAAATAAGTGAGGCAGAATGTGAAGGCTGAGATAGTTTTTATTAGACCTGCTGCTATTGTTGGACGAAACAGCTGTGGGAGCACTCAAGTCCTTGTTAAAATTGAAAGCGAGAAGCCTCATGATGAGATTTGGAGGAAGGATTTAGAGAAGCCTATGTGTAAAGTCTATGTAAGCTTGCCTTTTTCTGTATCCTATCTGTATCTTTCACTCTTTTGTTTCTTCCCTCACCTCTGGCTAGATGTGCCTGTT